GGACTCCACACCGATATCAACTGGTGTGGGAGACTTCGTCTACGTAAGACGACATCAGGTGTCATCCCTAGAACCCCGCTGGAAAGGACCATACCAGGTGCTACTTATAACACCTACAGCGGTAAAGGTAGATGGAATCACTTCCTGGATCCATGCCTCTCATCTCAAGCCTGCATCCTGTCCAGACTCTGGCTGGAAATTGGAAAAGACTGGTAACCCTCTCAAATTTCGTATTCGCCATGTGGATAGGGCTAGGGATTCTCCCCTTGACTACCAGTAGTCCTAACCCTCATCAGCCCGTTCATCATCGATGGCTGATCACAAATCCTACTGGACAAAAAGTATGATCTATCTTACATACAGCCCCCTTAGGGACCTGGTGGCCGTCTCTCCACCCAGACATTTTTCAGTTGGCTATAGGTCTTTCCTATTGGGTGTCCCTGATGAAGAGGATCCCACTAAAATTCCATTAAATCCCTTCCATACCATAGATAATAAAAACAAACATTATGGATGTAGGGACACGAGAGCCAGATGCAGGTTGGCTAACCTAGATTACTATGTTTGCCAGGTGGACTATCAAAGCCACAAACAGTCACGGCTGTGTGGGGGAAAAACCGACTTCTTCTGTAAGTCATAAGGATGTGAACATACAGGGGCTACCTGATGGAACCCAAACCTCCGCCAGTTCTCAGACCATTGCCCCCTTGCTGAAGTAACAGGTACTGAGGTATCTCTCCACCCACTCACTCCTCTCTTCTCCTGTCAGTGCCCACACCGGGTCCCACCAGATCCTCTTACCAGCTAACCCAAAGCTCAGACCAGCTGAGGAGAGCCCTCAGACCCCTATCCAAGATGTAATGAAAATGGCCTTTAAAGTTGCTTTGTCATCACTGAAAACAGGTTACTAAAAAATTTAAAGTCCCTCACAGGCTTTTTGGGATACTCACTCCAGTCTTCCCCTCTGCTCCACCTGTTCTACTACTCAAGTTTTTGTTGCTAGGAAAATCCCAAACCCCTTTCCCATTATTCTTTTACATCTCTCCTTCCTCATTCTCAGATCCACAGAGCTGCTCTCAGCACCGCCTTCCCCGTCCTCCCCCTCTGTATCAGGCCCACAGAAAAGTTTTAACTGACCTTCTCCAGAA